AAGGTCCTTACCTGAGGATAGCTTTTATATTTGTTAGAACTTTGTAGGAAGTTCATAGTAGTCTATCTTTCTATCTATCAAATTTCATTTTCTAACACAGTCTCCTGAAGTTTGACTCCAACTTGATTTTCCAATGTTATTGTTCACTATTCTCTGCTTTAGTATAAGATCTTCTTGCTTTTCCAGAATACATAAAACTCTCTTATTTTTCATACCCTTCTCACTCTTCCTTTTCTACTTAGGAATGACCTTTCCTTCTGCCTGTTGAATTCTTGAATACATTGATTTAATTCCACTTAATGGTTTTCTAAAGCCTACAAGATAAATTGAAACTGCTACAGAATTTTAAAAATCATTTTGCCAATTACTCTTAAAGTTGTATTTTATTCAGCAGTATTATGTGCTTTCAAAGATGTTTTACATAGATCCCTAGAAATATGCTTCTACAAATAAACACACATGTATGTGTACAATATACTTATATAGTATTTTACTTTCATTAATTTCTTTCATATGTTCACAGTGATAATTTTTACTTTTATGAAGTCAATCAATAAGAAAACCAATGAAGACTGATTTTGAAATTAATGATTAGGAATGGCAGATAAAATTTGATCTGACACTAGTTTTTAATACATTAGTACTTCATCATTAAATAAAATTTAGAAAATACTATATATTTATACATATAGTTTTAAATTACAGATTTTTATGATTCATTTTGCATTTTCATACAAATTTACCAATAAGTAAGAATGTGGAAAGAACTTATCCTAATAGCTATGAGGAAATGAATGAGGAGAAGTTACTCATGGACTTCATTGTGTTAAAACTTATTATACAACATATTTCAGTTCATATTTTATTTTGTTTTTTTTTATTTGTTTGTTTTTTTCTTTTTGTGGTGCTGGAATTGAACCCAGGGGCCAGCACATGCCAGGAAAGTGCTCTATCTCTGAATTATATACCCTGTCTTTTGAGTCCATTTTTTAAAGTAAAAAAAAAATAGTATAGATTTAGACTTATAGAAAATTATAAAGATAATACAGGATTGCCATATACCCTACAATTTCCCCATTATTAACATCTTACATTGAGTTACAATTAATGATGGTGCATGAGTTATAATTAATGAATCAATTTTGATATATTAACATTAGCTGAAGTTCATATTGCATTCAGATTTCCTTGGGTTTTCTCTCTCTCTCTCTCTGTGTGTGTGTGTGTGTGTGTGTGTTTAAATTAAGAATGACATTTGAAGAGAATAGTAGAATTATCAAAATACCTCTATAGATAATACCTAAATTTCTGTGAAATATAACAAAAATCAGTAATTTTTCTGTTTTGGTCTCATGGGTCCTGTCTGTCACCCTAAGTTACTCTTCCTTTTTCAAATTATGTTTCTCAATAAAGAACTACTTTGTTTTTAATTCCCCAAATAAATTACACTGTTTAATGCCTCCTGCCTGTATTAGCTCTCTGCTTGGATGGTCTCTTTCTCTCTGTCCAGCTAGTGAATCCCCTAAATCCTAGGCTAAGAGGCATCTATTCTGTGGTCCTGTTCCTAAAGCTGCTGATAACCAGTCTATAAGATTTTAATTTCAACTGCTTTTGTGCAACTAAATATTCAAATTTCCATTGTATTTTGTTTGAGGTATAACTTATTTTCCTGTTTGACTAAGTTTAATACAAGTTATCTTTCCTGTAGATATGACATATAGATTTTGAGAAATGTACCCATATTAACTGAAGGGATAGAATATAAAATTTAATAGACCAAAGTATTGAAATGTGTATGTACATGTATATGAATATAGAACCTCTCTCTTTTTTAAAAATATGCATATATATTTCTTTCTATGAAGTCAGTAGAAATGAACTAAATTTAACCATTGCTATCAAGATTTAGGTGATTATTTTAAGACTTATAATTTAATATGACAATTAGCATTCCAGTGAGAAATATTGATTCAGTAAAATAATACTAATAACAATATTTTGTGAATTCCATATAATTATTTAGCACTTTGATTATAACAGATGGTATTAATGTCTAAATTTTTCAGTGCTGTTTTTATTCACATTTTCTCATTTTGGTTTAAGTTGGTGATAGTTACAACTCTTTAATATTTTTATCAGAAGAGAAAAGAGAAAGAGAATGTCAGTGTCAGGTTTAATTTTGTCCATTTGATTTTGACTTCTTATAAAGAATAATTACAGAATTCCAGGTGAGGATTTTTTAATAAGACTAATAACCTTGCTGAATCTTTCTTCACTTTGGATAATTAGAACATGCTAGAGTTGTTATATAAGAAGTTAAAATAATAAATCCAGTTTATATACTACTTTCAATTGAAATTTTAACCCTCTAACTTGTGACTATCTAGGTGAGAATATACTGGAAATAGAACAAGCTTTTGAAATGTGTTGATAATTATTATTTTTCATTATAGCAGGGATCATTGACATTTATGTAGTGTCTAACATTTATTGGTTTCCTATTCATCATCTCATTTAATCCTGACAGAAATCCATTTCTATTGAAACTAAAAACATTATCTCTATTTATAGTTGAGGAAGCTGAAAGAGTGATTAGGGAGCTTAAATAAGATTATATAATCATTCATGTTGCAGAAGAGACCACAAACTCGAATCTCAAAGGAACTCTGAAATAGCATTTTCTTACAAACAAGTTCAGTTTTACTATGTGAGCACTTAATATTTTCCAGGTTACATACTGCATTTGGGGTCCACTGTTACATACTGCATTTGGGGTCCACTGATACAAAAAAAAAGTGTGCCTTTTAATAAATAGTCAAATTAGAAAAAAAAGGATAAAGAAAAATAATTTCACTTTTTTATCTTTTTTCCCTTTCTCTCAGTGTTTGACTACAAAAGAAGATGAAAATAAAACAAAACAGGTTTTTGGAAGCATGAATTATAAAGGAAAGTTTGACACAGATTGCTATGAGGAATAGATTGGATCTGATAGCAACAGAGTTAGCAAGATAGAGAGGATGGCGCCATTCTTAATAGCCAAGATATGGAATCGGTGTAGGTTTCTGTCAAGGGATGAATGGATAAAAAAACTGACTCATGGACAAGGTGGAATATTATGCTTCCATGAAATAGAATGGAATCATTTTTATGTGCAGCAATATGGATGGAACTAGATGACATTATATTAAATAAGTCAGGTACAAAGGCAAGTACTACATAATATTAAAGCTACATAAATTTATTTTATAGATGTAGAGAATAAAATAGTGGTTACAAGAGACTGGAAAGAGTAAGATAAAGAGATGTTAGTAATAACTAGAAGAAAGAAATATGTAGGTTTCCAACACAAAGCGATGATTAATGTTTGATATTCTGCTTATGCTAATGACCCTAATTTGATCATAATATTGTATACATGTATCAAAATAACACACTGTACTACATAAACATGTAGACTTATTATGTATCAATTTAAAATGGTAAAAAGAAAAGACAGTGAAAATGGAATAGGTTTGCCATATAATTGGCAAGAATTTTAATAGCTAAGCCATTATAAGTTATGAGTAAAAGTAAGTAATCGAAGAAAGCTGCTTAAGTTACTCTTCCCCAAAACAGGAATTGATACTAGTTTAAAGTGAAATAAGGAGGAAGGAGTACCATGTTATATTTTTATCAGCACAAACTTCCTTTCTTACTACTGCTCTCTATTCTCAGTGGCTACATCTTCACCAAAATTCAAGCCTTGATTTCTCCACCTATATTTTCTTTCTCTGAGCAAATATTACAAGTCAGAGGCAGGTATCTGATTCATCAGAAGAGGGAAAGTTTTCAGGAATAGTGTGCAGAAATAGAATTCTGATGTTAGTAAATACAGGGGAAAATGAACAGATCACCAGCAGCTAATGAAGAGTTGGACAGTTAAGGAGATAAATACAGAAAATGAGAACAAAGTAGGTGTTTCATTAACTGGTTGACTTACATACAAATACTCCCAGCTTCCCTGGCAACAGGAATCAATTCTTCCAGCAAACACAGAATATGAAAACCACAGGGCATTACTCTAAGTACTAGTCAGAGAAGCTGGCTAGCACCACCTTGGGATGGGCTGGGAAAGAGCTGGGAAGTGACCATGTTTCAGATACAGAATAAAATAAGGAACAGGAAAAATGTGAGGTGCAAACAAATCCTGTGGGTTTGAGGAAGTGTAGATATTTGGTAATGATGAAGGGTTGCAGGTTCAGATGACCAGTTTAGTACTGAGAATAATAAACCCTGTGGCTTCCCATTGCCTACTCAATACATATTTTCAGTTTTGCTATTTGAAAGAAATCATGGACTGAATAAATGACAAGTTTGTTTGTCTGCTACCTAATGTAAACTGATTGTAGAGTATCAATCAGGCAGGCTGCCCTCTAGCCCTGGCTTTACTGTGTTGTTGGAGAGTCAGACAGCAAACTCAGTCTTGTCCTCATCCTCCACCTAATACACAGAGCTCTGTCTTCAATACAGACCTGATTCTCAACTTTTGTACAAAATTCTGCTTTAAAAATAGATGATTAATATGACATGCGGAGAAAAGAATATACAGAATCGTTTTTCAAAGCTATTTTCATTAGTTCCCTAAACATCTGTCAAAAGAACTTCTCTAAGTTTTTGATTCATTTAACGATGAAAATAACAGAGAGTTTGTTAATCATATATTAAATGAAACTGAAGATCTCCTCCAAAAATCAGAAAATTAAAAAATTTGAAATTGCTGACAATAAAAAGAAATAATTAAAATTTTAATAAGCAATTCTTAATAAAATGAGAAAAATTCAAAAAAGCTTTCTATTAGCTGACTATTCGGTTATTTAGTTACTTTTGCTGATCTGAAAATTAGATTACTGTAAATTACCAATTATATCAATTTTTTATGACAGCTTGTTTTGTATAATTACATGCATCCTCTATTTAATTGTCCATTAAGGAATAAAGTGTTTGGTGAAGATATCACTAACCTTTATGGGATAGCAGTTTGTCAAATGATTCACCCCATTTCACTGCTTCTTCAGGGGAGACTCTGTTCAAGAGAAACAAAATGTTTTATAATGCAGTGTGCACAAAGTCTGTTTACGAATCTGTTTGAACATATGCTTATATTACTGCTCTTTTCAGTTATATTTTCACAGGGTTTCCCTTTGATTTTTATATAATGAAAGTTCCATTTACATCAGACACTTCAAAAACATTCGTCAATTCTCTTCTGGAATTTGCCAATCGAGCAGTGGGGTAAAATGACATTACAGATTTTCTCATGGATGTGTGAATTGTTTCATTTTTTTATGGAAAAATTATTTTGCATTAAGTTGAAAAGTTTATGCGCACACACACGCACAACACACAGAAATGAGGTCAACTATCTTTTTTATTTTTAAATTCATAAATAGATGAACTTAAACTAAGAATATCTTTCAAACTCTTTTTTTTAACTGCAGTTTCCTTGAAGCTTTAACCACAATATGCTACAAAACCTTTTTCTTAACAGAGACAGGAAGTTTGACTAATGAACTTTCAGAGGAACAAGAAATAAAAGCCATCTTTAATACAAAAAAATATTTTAGAGATGTTGAAAATATAGATAGTAGAATATTTTTTTGCATCTTGATTGTCATATTCAAGTTTGGAAGAATTTGTATTAAACTAGTTAAAAGGCTATTCTACTTTGTTTAAATTAAACACATAAAATTATAAAACATCCCTATGTATATACTGCTTGCTGTTATATGAAGAACATTTTTTAAACTGCTGAAAAAGAAAATAGCTCTTTTCTATGATAATATTACATTGTGAAAACATATTAATGATATGTCATCAGTTTATAAAAAGTAAAATATGTTCTTTAAAACTGACAGGCATATAAATTATAAAATGTAATTATTTAATTTAATTTATAAAAGTGGCTTAATTTTAGAGAGATTTCAAATTTCTTGAAACAACTTCTCTATTTTTCCTTATACTACCATGTAATTTCCAATAAAATAGAAATCACTAATTTCCTTTCTTAAAGCTTTAATTATGGAATAAACAAAATCCCCTCCACCCAATAATGAAAGTTATTCACCTCAATTCTTTGGACAAGGCCCCAAATCTACTGGAGTGGGTCTCTTCATGTGAGTCAAGTTTCTGTACAAGAAGACTTAGCCTATTTCTTTTTTCCTTGGCTCTGTAAAAAAGGCAGTAGCTTCAGGACAATTTAGATGACAGGCAAGAATCTTCTTCTGACTACCAACAAATCTGGAATTTGTAAATACCCACTCACAGTGCTTCCTCCCCATACATACTCTCAGAAATCCTATTTAATTACTATATTTCTGGAGAATTAGGATAGCAGATACTAAATATGTTCCTCTTTTACCTGCACGACAGACACACATTTGAAATTATATTTCAATACAGATTATTCTAGTTCTTCTTGTGTGGCTAATATTACTACATCTTTTAAATTGAAAACTCTTTAGGTTTAACAGTTGTTTAATCCAAGTAAGAAAATATTTTTCTTTATTTGTGACAGTACAATCAATCCATTTTCAACCAGATATTTTAAAAACAAATGCTAACACACATTCATTAATCATGATTTTAAAAGTATAGCATTGAAAATAATTTTACCTGGTTTTGGCCTCTTTGCTTGCTTCTTCTTTTCCTAGACCACCATGTATTAACTTGAAAAAAGCTTTTTCTTTTGTTTCACACATATTTAATTGAGAAAACAAAACAAATGATGTTTCCATGTTCCCTCTAAAATGAAGAGATGTCTAGTATCTTACCATCCTTCTGTAGCTCACTGGTGAGTGCTAGTCTGTAGTTATGCATGGTAGAATACAAAACTGTCTCAACTCTTTCAGCAGGGCTTCCAAAAAAGAAAGAAAAGGAAAACAGACAAAAGAAAAAAAAAAGTTCAGAGCTGTGTTTCTACCTCTGTAAAAATGTAGAACTGAGGAACTGAAGTATAATTCTGTCTTGAGCTGTTGAGGGAAATGATACCACACATTTGCAAAATGACGCTGGACTCCAAGATAAAGACGGTATTACCACAGAGTAACTTCTCTTTTGAGTTTGTGCAACCAGAATGATGCTTTAATAGACACAAATGGAGCTGTCATTTCCCACAGGAACTTTGTAAAGGGTTCTTTAATATATATTAAAAGTATTGTGGAAAGTGTAGGAAACATTTGAAGATATTTCCCCTCATCTTAAAAATGTAATTTTATTTATTTTTATTATATTGAGTTAATTAAATTACATTTAATTCACATAGTCTATGTAGTGTTAATTTTATTTGCTTAACATAGTGCATCCAAATAAGACTGTGGATTCAAATTTTATGGTTGAAAGGGAGAACAGAAAGCACTTACTTCAATAATTTTTAAACACAGGTCCACAGGATAATTTCAGATGTGTTTGAATTTTTACCACTAACTGATGGAATGGAAAACATATGGATTTTTTCCTTAAAACTCGTATTAATCTTTTTAATATAAAGGATTTTATATTAAAAATATAAAATTCATTGTAGTTAAAATATTCTTTTTAATGAAAAAGCATAACTGAAAATGACAGTTTGTGTGTTGGTATATTTTAAACCCTTATTCAAAAATAAATGTTGTCAACAGCAAATTAGTTGAGTTCCCCTTCTTTCATTGTTAAGATCGAAAGATACTGATCTAATTCATGATAAGAAAAAAAAGAAACCAAAGATCACAGACTTTAAGTGACTCATTCCTGCAAAGTCCCAAAGAAAGGTCAGTGAAAGATCTGGAATTATCAAGCCTTTGATCACCAATAGCATGTGCTTCAGTTTTTCCAAGAGCTTTTGATCTTTAATGGTGAAAACTTTAATTAGATCAAAAAAAAATCACATATTGCATAATGTTTAGCAGTTAGCTCAATATAATAAAAAGTTCTTTTAAAAAAAGTTTAAAAAATCAACTTACATAAATGAAAAATACAAAATTTTATTTTTAATCTTTTTGAATTATTGATTTATCAAGACAATTGTTATCAGCTATAATAACTAGGTGTTCAAAAACATTTACTGATTTGAAAATATAAAATACTTATTACAGAGTCATACATACAGCCTCATGGTTCACTGACTTACTTTGAAAATATTTTAAAATTCTTCACCTTGATTTAAAATTGGCTGTTAAAAATATTACATATGATGGCATTTTATGGCAAATTAGTAGAACTGTATGTTGAAAAGGCATATTCCATTTCCACCCTGACATATTCGTGTATTGATTAGCATTCCCTGGTTCCTATGTGAATGACAGCAAGAGAAAAATCATGGGAACATGGACATCATCTAATCCTAAGGACTTTTTTTGAGTTACTATATCCACAGGAGTGAAATATATAAACTTAGTAAATTATTCTTTGTGATATCCATTGACCATGCTGAGGAGATAGCCCAGTGGTGGAGAGCTTACTTAGTGTGCTTTAGGCCCCAGGTTCAATCCCCAGAACCACACAAACAAACCCAAAATGATCTGTTGAAATTTTGTACAAAATGTGCTATCTGCACAATGATAGAACTATGAAGAAAGAAATTTAGAAAATATAAGCACCAGTAAAACATTCAAAGGCCTGTGTAGAGGTCTAAAACAGAATTGGGAAAGATATGTGGTTCTAATCTCTATGTGGAAAGGAGGGAGCTCAAACACCAGAGGGAGTCAAATGGTGACTTCAGCTAATAATTATTCTTTTAGGAATTATTATTTCTTGAATAGTTTTTTAAAATGATAAAGCATAGTCTTTTTTTTATTTGCCTTAATATTTCCTTTATAGCTCTCTGCTCTCCGAGTTTTGATCTGGTTTCACTTTCCTTCAGCCTAAAAGCCTTTCTTTATCATTTTCTGTTCTTAAGTTCTACTGACAACAGATTTTCTCAGCTTTGGATTTTCTGAATTGTGTAGGTGTGCAAAGTGGAGGGACTAAATCAAGCTCTTTAACATATGTATTAAGGATATAATCTTAATTACTTCCTGTCGTCTACTGATTTTGAAATTAGTTTGTTCTTCCTGTTCTGGGGCCTTCAGTTATAACATTAGATTACTTAGGATCTTTCTTTTTGTTTCAACAAAGGTACTCAATGATATAACTTTCTTCTAAGAAAGTTATAGTATACTGTGCCTCATGCTGTCCCAGAGATATTGATGTGTTATATCTCTGTTCTCATTTGCTTTTAGGCACTTTTATTTATGCTCTAATTTCTTCTGTGATTCGTTGCTCATTCCAAAAATATTTAATCTCCAGGTATGAAAAAGATTTCTGTTTTTTAGCTTGTTATTTATTTCTAATTTCAATCCATTATGATCTGATATGATGCAAGGAATTATTTCTTTTTTTATATATTTGCTAAGACTTGCTTTGTATCCTAAAATATAGTCTGTTTTAAAAAAGATTCCATGTGCAACTGAGAAGAAAGTGAATTGAGATGTAGATGGCTGGAATATTATCTATAGATATCTGTTAGTTCTATTTGATTAATTCTTTTTTAGTTCTGAAGAGTCTTAACTTATTTTATGTGGATGATCTACCTATCTATTGATGAGAGAGGGTATATTGAAATTACCCAGTATTATTGTTTTAGGGGCTATTTGATTCTGTATTTTGAGTAGAGTTTGTTTTATGTCGGTAAGCGCACTGGCATTAGGATCATAACTATTGATAATCATTATATTCTTGGATGATTCCCTTAATCAGTATGAAATGACCATCTTTTTCTTTTATGGTTAATTTTGACTAGAAATCTACTTTATCAGATATAAGAGTAGCTACTCCTCCTTTCTTTTGGTCTCCATTAACAAGGTATATCTTTTTCTATCCTTTCACCTTCATCCTATAGATGTCTTTGACTATAAGGTGACTCTTTTATAACAATATATATTTGGGTATTGTTTTTGATTCATTCTACCAATCTATATCTTTTTTTTTTTTAATTTTTTTTTTATTGGTTGTTAAAAACATTATAAAGCTCTTGACATATCATGTTTCATACATTAGATTCAAGTTGGTTATGAACTCCCAATTTTACCCCAAATACAGATTGCAGAATCACATCGGTTACACATCCACATTTTTACATAATACCCTATTAGTAACTGTTGTATTCTGCTACCTTTCCTATCCTCTACCATCCCCCCTCCCTCCCCTCCCATCTTCTCTCTCTACCCCATCCACTGTAAT